TTGCAGATGCAGCCCTGGGAATGGAGGTGGAGGCGGAACCTGGCTGTGTGGAAGGCTCCTTGGGACTGCTCACAGCTGCACTTCAAGAGCTCCGGGCCGCCATGACAGACCCCGCCCAGTATGATGGTGAGGATGGGCATTGGGAAGGCTCAGGAGCCGTGTGCGGCCATGGATGGGGCTCAGTGGCTGGTACTTATTCCTGTGGTTCAGTGTTTGGTGGTTAAGCCTGACCCTGGTGCTGGCCGGTATCAGGATGTGGTCCTCTTTAGACAGGATGGGAGACAGTCACTCCAGCTGTCAGACCCTTGACAGAAGGTGACTGCTGCTCTTGGGCATCCTGGTTAGACAGGTGGTGGAGAGGAGGCTGGGCGACGTTACTAGGCTGGGGTTTTCTTTCTTTTCCTCACGCCCGAACCTCTGCTGCTGTATGAGTTGTGAGTGTTTCCCTGGTTTGGAGCCCAGACAGTTCAGACTTAGCAATGGTGAACAGCAATCTATGAAATAAATCCTAACTTTCAGACTTTACTAATGGAAATTGCAGAATCCAAAATAGTAGGCTAGCTTGTGCCGGCATGGCTCAGTGGTTGAGTGTTGATCTATGAACCAGGAGGTCACAGTTTGATTCCTGGTCAGGGCACATGCCTGGGTTGCAGGCTCAATCTCCAGTGTGGGCATGCAGGAAGCAACCAATCAATGATTCTCATCATTGATGTCTGTCTGTCTGTCTGTCTGTCTCTCTCTTTCTCTTTCTCTTTTACTTTCCCTTTCCCTTCCTTTCTGAAATCAATAAAAACATATTAAAACAAAATTAATAGGCCATATTTTTACCTAGTAACTGTACAGATTTTATTTTATTTTTTTTATCATTACCTAAGGATACATTCATTGATTTTTAGAGAGAGGAAAGGAGAGAGAGAGAAGAGAGAAAAACATCTATCAGTTGCCTCTTGTATGTGCCCTGACTGGTAATCGAACTGCAGCCTAGGTATGGGCCCTGACCAGGAACGGAACCTGCACCCTTTTGGTGCATGGGATGATGCTCCAACCAGCCAAGCCACCCGTCCAGGGCTATTATGAATTCATCTTATTCCTGCTAGGAAAGACTATCCTGTGAGAGCCTCACAGAGGAAATACTAACATAACTGTCTTAGTTCTTCTGCTCGCTGGGTGCCTGCAGGGCCTTAGCTGCGATCCTGCTGAGTGTGCCATGGGGTGGGAGCGTGGCCTTCAGAGCATGGCATCTGGGGATCCTGGGGCCTGGCAGGACCCAAAGGCTCTAGCAAGGTGGCTGAAAGGGCAGGTCAGCCTTGTTCCAAAGCAGCAGAGGTCCCATTTCCACACAGTCTGGTTGGCCCACTCAGCACCCACCCAACCTCTGGTGCCCGAGGCTGTGGCTCTTGGCCATCGGCAAACACGATGACAGCTGGGACGCAAGCCTCCAGCAGATGTCACGTGTGGGGGAGAGTTGGTCTGTGATTCAGATGAAGAACTTAAACAAGTGTGAGGTTTGTGGTGGTGACAGTGCATCCTCCTCACACGTGCAGTACAGTGTGAGTGGTGACCGCCCCTCAGCCGTGTCACCTGCTCCACGCCCAGTCGCTGCCGCCTTCAGGGAGTTGGCCCTGGGTGCAGTCAGGGTAGTGTTGGGTAGTTTCTGCGCCCTCATCAGCCCCTCTGTGCACCTCCTCCCCGCACCCCTGCTCACCTGCCTGGACTCTGCCATTTGCAGTTTTGTCTGCTCAGATTGCGGTGGTTTCTGAAAGGCTGCACTCTGCCCTGGGCCTCAGTGAGGACGATGGCAGCTCCAAGGTCTCAAAGATCCAGCTCAGTGCTCTTGCTCCCAAACTGGAGCAGTGGGAGCAGCAGGTGAGTGTGGGACTCCAGAGAGCACAGCTGTTGCACCTGCGGGGTTGTGCAAGAGAACCGAAGCCCTTCTCTTCACCCTTGTCCTGCTATATAAAGTGTGTACGTACAGCCAGGACGGTCAGAGTCCTCAGTGCCAGGGTCAGCACCCCACCTGTGTGCGCAAAGAACATGCAGCGAGGCCTCTGTGGCCTGAGAGTCCACAATATTCACTCTCTGGCCTGCTCTCTGCTTAACGTCTCACCAGAGGAGAGGGCGGGACAGCACGTGGCCTGTCATGTTCCCAGGCTTGGGAGTGGGGATTCTTGTACCCGTTTGCTTTGGGGTTTCCTCTCCGAATGTAAACCTGTCAAATGTGTGTAAACAATACGAGATCCGACTCAGGCAGGTTCCCCTGGTGTCTCCCCAGGTCGTGGATCTTCTGCTGACCTCTTTCTGTCAGAACCTAATGGCAGCCTCCAGCTTTGCCCCACCGGACAGGTATCTGGGCAGTTTGTCTGCAGGTGGCCTGCTGCTCTGGGTGGGCCCTTGTGGAGCAGAGCTTCTCCCTGGTCCCATGACGACAGTGGCCATCAGTTCCTGGTCCTCTGGCTTCCTGCTGGGCTACTGGTGGGGTCTATGCTGACTTTATCCAGTGGGGATAGGGCAGGAGTGAGCATTGCACAGGAGACGCCACTATTTGGGGAACTGCCTGCTTCTTGCTGAGGCCTCCTGTGCCTGAGTGCTGGCACCCCAGACCCTGGGAGGGCTGTGCAGGACTGGGACTGGCCATTGTCTCTGCAGGCAGGGCTCCTGGGCGGCCCGCTTTGTGACGACCACATGTGGACGCTTGCTCCTCCCCGCTGTGCTCACCAGGCTCTGCCAGCTCCTCCGTCACCAGGTAGGGCTGCTGCCTCCCTCCAGCTGGGAAGGGGGCTCTGCACCCTTCCTCCTGATGAACTAGTTCTCGTCCCATTTCAGGGCCCGAGCCTGAGTGCCTCGCACGTGCTGGGGTTGGCTGCCCTGGCCGTCCACCTCGGCGAGTCCAGGTCTGCGCTCCCGGAGGTTCACATGGGCCCTCCTGTCCCTGCCAGGGGCCTCTCCATCCCTGAGTTCTTCAGCAGCCTTCTGACGTGCAGGTACAAGGAGTCCTCACTCTTCTGCCTCAAGTGAGTTCTCCCCCTGGTCCTTCAATACTGTGTCCTCTGTTAGCAAGTCACAGGTGTGCCCCTCAGATGATCACTGGTTAGCCTCTTGGTGTCTGTCCTTCCAGAATCTTGTTTCCATGTATTTAAGTGAGAGTGTTGGTTGGTTTGTTTATAAAAATGGGATCACATGCTGCACTAAACTGCATGTAAGATGTTGGCAGTAGACGGTGGTGCCCTTGCATGTCACTCAGCGTCCTTTGGGCCTGTCAGAGCTGCTCCATTTTGGCTCAGGGTCCTGACTTCTGGTTAGGTCCCTGGTTCCCTGTGCTGAGCAGCTGCGGCAGCTGTTTCTCTAGGGTAAACCCCTACCTGTGGAACAGCCCTTCCAAAGGTAGACTCCTCTTAAAGGGCTTTGAGACCCATCATCCTGTAAGTCTGGGCCAGTTTACACCCCACGCGTCCCATCATGCACCACTGAGCCCATTCCTACCCTTTGGTGTGGGGACACCTGCTAACTCAACAGCGTGCAGCATGCGGGGTGGCAGGTGCTAGGGGCAGGTGGGCGGTTGGGGTGAGAGCGGCTGGCCTGTGCTGAGGTGTCCTGTGTGGTGGGTCTGAAGTAGAGCTGTTGGCTGGGACTGTGTTCGAAGTTTACTGACAGTTGACACAAGGCCTGAGGGATGTAATCAGCAGAAAGGATAAGTGCAGGAAAGCCTGTCTCTGCCTACTGCCCACCTGATGTCTGTGTTGTCCACACTGGAGGCAGATTTCCCATCCCCATCCCTCTCATGGGCTTTTGGCAGCACCAAACAGTCTCCATTGGGAGTCAGTCCTGTAGGTGCCCTGGTCCCCTCCTCCGCCCCTCACCACCTTTCTGACTTTCTCTGGGCCCCTGGGTGAGTCTCTTCTGGTTGGTCTCCCTCCCCCGAGCAGCAGGGACAGAGCTCAGACCCAAAGGGTATGATGCGGGGGCCACTCCCCAGTGCTCAGGAGTGGAGGCTGAGGACAGAGACTCAGGACTCACGCTTAATTCTCTCTCCCTTATTTCCATGGACCACATTTCTGTGTCACAGTTCCCATTTTCTATTTTCAGATTCTGTACCGCGACAATTTCTTACGCTTTGTGTAAGTTTTCTCCCCAGTCATGTGATGCTTGGTACAGCTGTTTATCTCCAGGCCTAATAAAAAAGGTGGGTTTCTTAGGTACCTTCCTTCCATCCTCCCGAGTCTCCGGTTTTATTCAGGAGTCCGATGTCCATGCCCCTTGTTTATCAGGCTGTCTGCTTGGGCTGGACACGCCTTTTCCTCCTGTTCCAAGTTGAATGAGGGGGTGTAAGAACCTTCCCATTCAGAGAATCTATTTCGTCTAGAGAGTTCTGTCTTCTTGCAAGTGCTTTTTAGATTGTGAGGAGATGAGAAATGTAAAGTGTGTGAGAAACATTATGTGTCAGCCAGGCAGGTGAGGTTGCTGCTCCTTTTGCAGAGATTTAGGGAGCCTCCCTTGTGAGGTTTAAACCTGGTTCTCAGTCCAGGCTCACCCTTGGGATCAATGGAGCTTTAAAAGCCCAGCCTCCTGGCCTGACAGGTAGATTGGTGTTGGGAGCAGCTGGGCCCCTGTGGTTGGTGTCGAGGAGCTTAGTCCCAGCTGCCAGAATGTAAGGATGGAATGAAGAGCAGGACGAGTGGCCCCAGCAAGGAAGTCCCTAGTCACACTGTCCAGTCCCGATTCCCATATGGTGCAGCCTACACGAGAAACACAGGGAAACGGCAGACCTCAGGTGCAAAGGGGTACAAAGGAACATCCCCCTGGTAGGCCTTGCTTGCCCAGTGCGCACTTCCTCGGGAAGACAGCAGTGCCAGCCGAGGCCTGGGAAGATGGCACCACCCTCTGAAGGGCAGGTCAGACCCAGCCATTCAGCTTCTAAGCATCCACCCAGGGAAACGATCCTGTGTGCACCGAGGTTTACATACAGGCTGCTCACAGAGGTGCTGCATGTAACTGGTCATGATGCCCAGGGTGCCCCACAGGGGAAGGCGACGCTGCAGGTGAGGCCGCTGCAGGTGACGCAGGGTCTTCGCTGCCTGCTGTATGTGGCCAGGCTACGTGAGTATGTTCTGAGTCTCACAGATGCATTGCTGTCTCTCTTCAGTTTCAGTTCATTGTGCTCAGATTGTTCTCAGAAGCCCGATACCCTCTCTCTGTGGAGGACACAGCCAGCCTTCGCTGGAGGCCCTTGTGCCTGCCGTCTGCAGACTGGCAGCAAGCTGCCCTCTGTCTGTGGAGACAGAGGGCCTTCCGGGAACTACTGAAGGAGAAGGAGTTTCATGTAGGTCCTACTGTCCCTCCCCTTGTTTGTCACTTTGCCCCAACGCCTGGGTTTGCAGGTGCAGATCTGGGGCCTGAGGATGTGGGCAGGCGGGTGGGCCTGACCCAGTGATGTTGGAGCAGCATGGACTTAGCTTTGGTTGAGACCATTACTGGGATCATTGTAGATTCACACCGAGGTTTAAGAAACCAGTCGAAAGATGCCTTCTACTCCGCCCAGTTTCCCCCAACAGTAACATTTTGCAGAGATTTTAAGAGTGGATAAAAATGTATCTTAAACAGCTGCCAGGCTTTGGTTTGGGGCTGGGCTTCTCTGAGCATAATCCCTGGGAGCCTTGGCCCCTGGGCCAGTGTGCCCCTGTTACTCATCTCTGCTTCCTTTTCATAATTTGCATTTATTTCTGGGATGCTTGCCTGTTTGTTTTGGTCTTTAGAGAAAAATATTTTTCAGTTTTATTGTTAACTATATCATTTATGCAAGAGTAGGCCTGATGGTGTGTAAGGCAAGGAACAATGACGCTTAGCAGATGCCTCCCCTGCACTCCAGGGCGCTTTCCAAGCCCTGGGCTATCGCAGCCCTGAGCACCGCACTGCTGCCTGTCACCGGGTTTGGCCCTCACTCCGTTGGGACGTGCTGTACGCATGTTTCTGTGACGTGCTCCTTTACATGCAGTGTCAGGTTCTGAGATTAGTCTGGGTTGATGTGTGAAATTGTTCCAAGAATTTGAAAACAGGAAACATGCCACGATGAATGTTTGAAGCAGCTACTAAGTTGATTGGCTACTACCCAGCGCCCGGGACTAAAGAGTGACCTCTTTCCCGGTGTTGCTGAGCGGCACCTTCAGAGGTTTGCAGATGCCACAGGCCACTGCTCACACCTGCAGTGTGCTGGAGCGCGCGGCTTAGCAGTCCAGTTTTCCCGTCTTAGTAGCTTCCCATGCAGTTAAACAAAGCAACAGAGCAGTTCTTGATCAGGACCGGGGGCCGGCACCGCCGTCCAGCAGGGGGAGTGGTGTGAGGTAGAGGTTACTCTGACCACGTGAGGGGGCTGGCCTGTGGGACTCTTGGGGAACGGCCTGTGGTTCCTGGGTTCCGTCCTTGCTGTGGCAGCCTCTCAGCTGCTCCTCCTCTCAGTTAACTTACAGAGACTGGGTGCAGCTGGAGCTGGAGACTCACCCAGAAGTGGACTCTCTCTCAGACATAGAAAGGTAGGTGTTTAACGGGTCCTGCCCTCAACATGTTTTATGGTTTTCTACATTGTCTTAAAGTCTTGAGTTTTGTCATTATATCCTTAATGTTCAGTTTAACACATCTGTGAGCACAATTTCATTCACTCCTTTACTCAAGAACATTGAGCTGTTTGCTAGACACTTCTACAATGTCCTAGCAGCTGGGATGCCTTGTAAATGAGACCCTCCTGCCCACGTGGCACCTTGCCCCTGATGCTCCTGACAGGTCGTCTGGCAAAGGCACCACACAGAGTTGACCCCTGTGTGGCCAGGGACAGGCCTGTAGACAGTGGATAGAGGCAGGGACATGCTCTCGGAAGGCACCAGGCAGGGCTGTGAGAGCAAGTGCCCAGAGAAGGGGCAGCGGGACAGCAAACATGTTCCCCAGGTGGGGCCTGACAGATCAGTGCTCAGCTGGTATCTGCTGGCCCTGCATCCACTGTCCATGTGGGAAGAGCACATGCAGCCCATTGAGGAGGCAGAGGACTGGGCGTGTGCCCCACACAGCGCTGGCTGTGAGGGGATGGTTCCAAGAGGGGTCAATCAGGTGTGAAGGCAGATTACTGAGACCACTGGGAGGTCCAATGTGTTGTTCTGGGCATGCAAGTGGGGTGCTGACAGGGCCCATGGGTTTGGGGACACAGAGGTCAGGAGAGGGCATGAGAGCCCAAGGGAGCAGCTGAGGGCAAGGAACAGGGTCCTGGAGTCCCAATGAGCTTTGTGAGATCAGAGGCCCCAATCACATGAAGTAATGTCTGTCCCCAGACTTGTCTTGTGATGTCAGATTCTGGACAGAACTAACAGAAATAATGAGAAAAGGAAAAGTCTGTGGCAATGAAAACAGCAACTTTCCCAACAAAATGGGTTTTGTTTCCTTGCGCCAGGCCAGCTGTGGGAGGGCTTTGCACCTGTGCTCAAGTGCCCTGGGGTCTGTGCCCTTCCTGACCTCTTTCCAGCAGGAAGAGAAGGGTTAGCTTTCTGGTGTGAGGGTCCATGGCCATTCAGTGTCCCTGAGCCCACCGCATGTGGACACTGTATTTGCACCTGTCCTGGGGTTTACGTCCTCAGCTATGTCTGCACAGGTTTCAGAAGGAGAAGCATGAGATGACCGTGGCTCCTTGCCCACTCATGCTCGGGTTTGGCTCCTTCACAGACGGCAGGGCTGGTGGCTTGGTGCTTTCGGTAGTTTGTCCTCAGGGCTTTCCAAGGGCAGCTGTCCACATCTGCATACCTGTGCTGTGGATCTGGGGCAGCTCACAGGCACCCTGGGAGGAGTCCTCAGCCTCTGTCCCCAGCTCACCATGTGCGGGTGGCCCCTGAGGGGTTCTTCATAGGTGGTCAAGGGCCTTCCGTAGCCCCAGACCCCTTGATCCCACCCCTGTGTTGCTGTGCCCCGCACTGGGGTTCATTTCTCACTGTGGGAGCTCCTGCTTGCAGACAGTACAGCACAGACTTGGTATGTGCTTGCAGGCGGGACTTCCACCAGTGGGCCATCCATGAGCATTTCGTCCCCATGCCCACCGCTGCAGGGGGCTGCGATGGAGACCTGGAGACAGCGTGCACCGTCCTTGTCAACGTTCTGATGGACTTCTGTCAAAGGTCAGGAATGCTGATGCCAGAAAGCATCTTTTAGTTTGGGTAGTTCTAGGAATATTTTTATTTCCCTCCAGTTTCCCCACATTCTCACCAACACTTGTTACCTGACTTTTTGATAATATTTATCCTGGTGATATATTGCATTATGATTTTGATTTGCTTTTTCTTTTTTTTTTAAATATATTTTATTGATTTTTTACAGAGAGGAAAGGAGATAGAGATAGAGAGTTAGAAACATCGATGAGAGAGAAACATCGATCAGCTGCCTCCTGCATATCCCCCACTGGGGAAGCGCGCGCAACCCAGGTACATGCCCTTGACCGGAATCGAACCTGGGACCCTTCAGGGGTCCTGGGACCCGCAGTATCCACTGAGCCAAACCGGTTTCGGCTGATTTGCTTTTTCTTAATGGCGAATGGTGTTGAATATCTTCTTATTAGCTTGTTGGCCATTATTGTATCTTCCTTGGAGAAATGTCTGTTCAGATCCTTTGTCCATTTTAAAATTGAGTTATTTGTTTTATTGGGCTGTAAGAGTTCTTTATATGTGCTAGATGCCAGATCCTTCTCAGACATAGGAGTTGCACATACTTTCTCTCATCCTGTAAGTCATGTTTTCACTCCTCAGTGGAGTACTTTGATGCATAAGAGTTTGACATTTTTATGAAGCCCAATTTATTTTCAGTTTCAGCTTTTATGTTTAGGCCTTTGATCCATTTGAGTTAAATTTTGTATGTGGTGTATGTTAGGAATCCAACTTTCTTCTTCTGCTTGTGGATGTCCAGTTCCCCAGCACCTTTGTTGGGGAGAGTGTCTCCTCCCGATTGAATGGTCTTGGTGCCATTGTCAAAAATCAGTCGATTGTACTTGTGAGGGTTTTTTTCCTGGACTCTCTTCTGTTGAGCTGCAGGTCCATCCTTATTGCCAGCCTCATACTGTTTTGATTACTGTAGTTTGTACTAAGTTTTAAATTGGGAAATGTGAGTCCTCTAACTTTGTTCTTTTTATTTTTTTAAATAATATAGACCGCCCTGACTGGTTTGGCTCAGTGGATAGAGCGTCAGCCTGTGGACTGAAAGGTCCCAGGTTCGATTCTGGTCAAGGGCATGTACCATGGAGGGTGTGCAGGAGGCAGCTGATTGATGTTTCTCTCTCATCGATGTTTCTAACTCTCTATCCCTCTCCCTTCCTCTCTGTAAAAAATCAACAAAATGTATTCTAAAAAAATAATAAAAATAATAAATAATATAGACCAAGCCACTTAATTTTTTTATCCATAACTAAGGGCACATTCATTGACCTTTGGGGAGAGAGAGAGAAACATTGATGGTTGTCTCCTGTAGGCACCCCAACTGGGATCAAACCCACAACCTAGGTATGTGCCCTGACGGGGAATCAAACCCATACCCTTTGGTGTATGGGATGATGCCCCAACCAACCGAGACACACCAGCCAGGGCTGACTGTGTTCTTTTTCAAGGTTGTTTTGACTGTTTTGACTGGGTCCTTTGCAATTCCATCTGAGTTTTAGCATCAGCTTGTCACTTTCTACAAAATGACATAGGATTCTGATAAGGATTGCACTCTTTGCAGATGAATTTGAGTAGTATTTTACTATCTTTTTTTCTTTATTACTGAATTTATCAGGGTGACATTGGTTAATAACATTGTGTAGGTTTCGGGGGTATAGTTCTATAGTACATATCTGTATGTTGTATTGTGGGTTCTCCACCCCAAGTCAAGTCTCCATCACCATTTGTCCCCCCTTTACCCTCTTCTACCTCTCTCCCACCCCCACCCCCAGTATTGTCATCTTAACAGCACTGAGTCTTCCTGTCTATGAACATGGGATGTCTTTACATTTATTTAGGTCTTTAATTTTTTTCAACAATGTGTTAATTTTCAGCATATAAGTCTTGCACCACCTTGGTTAAATTTATCCTTAAGTATTTTATTCTTTTTTAACACCATTGTAAATGAAGTTATTGTCTTTATTTCATTGTCTTTATTATTCCTTGCTACTATATAGAAATACAACTGATTTTTTATATACATTTTCTATCCTGTAACTTTGCTGAACTCGTCTATTTGCTCTAATAGTTTTTTATTGTAGATTCTTTAGGATTTCCTACATAAAAGATCATGCCATCTGGGAATAGAGATGGTTTAATTTTTCCTTCCCATCTGGATGCCTTTTCTGAACTGCCCTGGCTAGAACTTCCACTGTGTGTTGCATGGAAGTGTTGAAAGAGGACATCTTTGTCTTGTTCCTGATCTTAGGAGGGAAGTTTTCAGTTTTTTATCATTCAGTGTGAGGTTAGCTGTGTGTCTTTTTCATAAATGCTCTTTATCAGGTTGAGGAAGTTCCTTTCGCCTAGCTTGTTGCGTGTTTTTAATCTTGAAAGGCTATTGAATTTTGTCTAATGCTTTATCTACATCTATTGAGATGACCACATGGTTTTTGTTTTTCTATTGATACTAGAGGCTTGGTGCACAAATTCGTGCACAAATGGTTGGCCTGCTGGCTCTGCCCCTGATGGGGGTTGGGGGGAGTGATGGATGGGGCCCATCTGAGGGAGGGGCCGCGGGTGGTTGGCCAGGTGGCCCCGCCCCCTGGTCGAACACCCAGTCAAACTCCCAGTCAAGGGGATAATTTGCATATTAGCCTTTTGTTATATGGGATGGGTGTTATAGTAATTGATTTATGGATGTTGAACCAGCCTTGTGTCCTTGGGATAAGTCCCAGTGGGTCTGGTGCATAACTGTTTTTATGTGTTATTGGGTTTGGGTTGCTGGTATTTTGTTACAGAAGGTTTTGTTGTTTGTTAGTTCCTGTGACCACACACAACTCTGGAGGCAGGGGAAGCAGGAGCTCCAGCACAATTAGGAGATACTCAGGAGGCTTTTACTGCATTTTTGTTTCAGTTCAAGGAGTTGTGACCACTCAGAGAATTCTGATTTGGTTCTTGGTGGCTACATGGGAAATCGAGATATTTTTTCAAGATTGCAGGTGAGTTAAAAGGTGCAGAATTCAGTGTGTTCACTGCATTAAGCCTCTGTTACTAAGCTGTTTATTATGAATATCCATAATGGGTCCTAAGGCAACTGAGCAGAATGAAAATTCGCATCACACACACAGTGGCTGAGACCCAGGGTGACAGGTGCTCTGTGAACGAGTCCAGTGCACATCATGGAAACACAAACCAAAGCTGTGATGTTGGCATCGCCTCCAGGCTTTGGGACATTTCTGAAAATAGAGGCGATTAAGAAAATTCCAACTTTGATGATAACACAGGTGCTACCCCACTGTTTTCTGCTTTACTCTTGGCTGTTCTGTTTGGGTGTCGGGCTCTGAGAAGTGATGTCAATCCCTTCAGAGGATCAACAGTTCACGGAGTGTCACAGGGTCAGCTGGCACCTTGCAGGCAGCGGGCTCTGTCTCCTGTGCAGCACGGAGAAAGCGAGAGCGAGAGCAGGTGTAGTCACCATGCCTGCCGGCCTCAGACCTTCCTGGGCCGTAGGCGTCCGGGTCTGAGCCCACCTGCCTCCTCGTCCACCTGTACCTGGGAACCTGCCTGCAGAAATGCACAGAGTCTGTTC